GGGGATATTCCAAGATGACTGCAGGCTCCTTTTTGACCTGGCCGAGTATTTCCTGCCAGGTCTTTCAGGAAGAAAACATAACCAAAATAAATATTGGCAAACGTTGTTGCTGCTCTGTGAGTTGCATCAGAGTACACATCGATGAACCTAAGTATTAACACAGTGGAGCAACACAGAATCTACAGTGAAACATAAACAGGTTAATTATGATAAACAGCAGAAAACTCTGGTTTGGCTTTTCCCAAACTAACAATTAAGGAAACGTAGAGCAACACCAGAGTTGTTTGCTCTCTTGGTTGCTGATTATTCAGCTTCATGTAACTTTAAAACTTTTACTCAGAAAAAATATCTATCAAATATTCAGGTTCTGCAATTTAATGTTCTGGAGTTCCTCAGGGCCCGACTCTCGGCTCTCTTTGATATCCGTTGCTTTGTGGATGACACAATAACATGTTTCAGTCTGATGTTTGTCTTATTCAGTTCAAGTCTTAATTGTGATTTTGATCATGAATCTTTCAGTAGTTCACTGGTTGAGCGAGTTTACTTAGTGGAGTTCCTCAGGGCGGTAATCTCGGCTCACTGTTATATTTCAGTGTTTGGTATGTTCTACTCCTATCAGCTAAAGTCTTAATTATGATTTTGATTGTTAAACTTTCACTCAACACATGCAAAAAAGACGATACATTGAATAATTTCAAGAATTTAACAAATCTACTGACAATGCAAAATCTTTTGTCAAGTTAAACAAACAAAATAAAGATACAATAACAAATGTTTCTCTAAACAGTTACAGCTATAAAAAATTGTTTTCTTTTCCGATGGTGATGGCTGGCAGAAACTGTGAAGTTACATAACAAAAATGTAGAACTTTATTAAAAATTGTTTATTACTGAGCAGTTAAAATTAAAAAATAAAATACCACATCAAATTCATTTTTGCAGTTTAAATTTAATAAATGTTGTCCCTCACAAATAGTTTAAATTTACCCATTTTCCCCTCTATTGCAAAAATGTTTCTACAGCACAGATAAAGTCTTAATTGTGATTCTGATCACTAATTTTTCACTCAACACATAGAAACACATATAAAAGATAAATTAAAAATCTGAAATGTTTTGACAAAAGTTGTAATTAAAGCTTATTAACGCAACAAAATAATGCAAACTGTCATTTCTCTGAACAGTTATGGCAATTAAAAATTGTGTTTTATTTAAATATCTATTTTTCCTCTCCATTCTGAGATGACTGGGCAGAAACTGTGAAATAATTGTCCTTCCTGTTAATTGTCCTTCCTGTTTGCAGTTTGTGTCAAAGTGACAACAAAAAGAACCGAAAATGACGTGGCGATTGTGTGTGGGCGTCACAGCGTAGCCGTGATGCTAACGCCTCGACGGCCCCACATGCTTCTCAGTTACTGAAACTGATCTTCAAAAACCCAGCAGATCTGCAGGATGTCCAGCCAGCCGAAGCCCCGCAGGACGAGGCGTTTTCTGCTGTGAAGCCACACCCAAACAGGAAGGAGTCACCGAGAATAGAGTGGCCCTCCACCCAACCAGCTTCCCTTTCACTGACACACACTTCCTCTAAGTCTGTTTGTTTGCTTCATGTAAAGTTCTGCTCATTTTTCACCCAAAACTACAAAAAATAAACAACCTGGACGCAACAATAGAGGAGATTTCAACTCCTTGCTGTTAAATTGTGACATTTGGTCATTTTGATCTTGTTTTTTTCCCCAAATTAAATTATTCTGCTCCCTCCCACACAGCTCTCACCTTTTCTACAGGCGGCCCATCAGAGCAGAATAAATTACCGAGCTTCAAAGAGGTAAAATCATCAGCATGTCAATGATCCGGGCTCACCGATATTCACATGTTGCTAAGAGACCAGATGAATGAGCATCACTGGGTTTGTTTACTCTAACGAGTTTCTGCCTCATTTAAGCAGCCAATCAGAGGCGCAAGCAGCCAAACGAGAAGAAAGTCATTTGATGGAAAAATCCATCTTCAGGTGAACGTTGCGCCAGGTAAGAAGCTGAGTTTTATTCTCAGGAAATGTCTCAGATTAAACTCAGCACTGAAGTGAAGTTTGGCTCCCTCTGCTGCTGTGGAAACGGAGCAGAAAGAACGCCATGTGTCCAGATTAAAGAATACAAATTAAAATCACCAAAAAGGTTATTTTTTATCTACTCAACAATAAACTCAGCATAATCTATTTTAACTAAATAAATTATCAGATTTTGTGGTAACACTTTATTTGAAGGGGGTTGAATAAGACTGACATAACACCTGTCATGAACATGAATGAGCCTTCATGAATATTTATGACTTGTCATAAAGTGTCATTTAGTAAATTATGACACTTTTAATACAAAGTTGACATTATTCAAAAAGTCTTTGTTATGACAACTTGACATTAACCAGGAAATCATTACTGTTTTAACTTTACCTTTAATAACATAAAGTTACCTAATTTTTAAAGTGCAATCAGTAATACTTTTATAACAAATTTATATCAAGATCTTGATGAGTCATCAGGTTTACTTTAGAGTACAAGTCAGTGGACAGATGTGGAGAGTAGAAGAAAACCAAAAAGCTTGGAAAAGTTTATTACTTTGTGTGTTTTGGATGCTACTATTTTACCTTTAAAACAACAAAATATTGCTTTCTTCTGAAAAAACAGCCATCAAATTTTGATGTTCCGGAGTTCCTCAGGGCACTAACCTCGGCTCACTGTTACAGTAGGTTCATTGCTTTGTGGAGGACAATAACATATTTCAGTCTAGTTTGATTTGCTTGGTATTGATCTGCAGAAAGGAGTATTTTTTATTTAAAAGTTGTAGTTTTGTGCTGATTAATTCTGGTGCCCTCAATCGGCCCCCTGACCCCACATTGAACACCCTTACTTAACAAATGTGTGACCGAATTGTTAATTTCTCAACTTTGTATTAAGTTTCCAGGATCATTTTCAGATTTGCCTGAATCCTGTTTGTGACTAGCAGTTCAGTGGAAACTTTACAAAAACAAAACAAAAACGAAGGAAATGACCTAATTTAGCAGCTCATGCTGACACACGCTGGGATTTCCTCACCTCAGTGAAGCAGGATGACTTCCAGTTTCAACATGAAAACATTTCCCAATATCTTCTCCCTCGATGTTCACCTCAGGTCAGAAATGAATCCTGTGTGAAGACATTAGTTCCTCCCTAAAGCAGAACTAGATCACAGTGCTGTTAATGTTGTACACAACTCAAAATGTGCATTTTAAGTTTAATAATTATCTAGAATACACTTTATATCCAACTTTTGATCAATGTTTTGAAATGCAAAGTCATAGAAATGCATTTTCATGAAATACACATGCAATATTTCCACAAAAATTGCTTTTTGGTTGATAGGTTACAAGCTACACGTTTTTTGAATTAGCTTCCTGCAATAATCAAATGATTCATTCAAAAAAAAGTTACTTTTGTGGATATAAGCAATTTTTTACTACTGAACTTAAGGCATTTATTTATATAAACATTCTTTGGGGTTCAGCCAATCAGCGTTGAGGAAAATAAATTAGCTTCTTAGCATATCAGCTATTAGCATGTCATGTAGCATTGCGGTTACATATTTAGCTTCCCAAGCTGCATTTAAAAAAATATTTCAGGAATGAAACATGAAAAAAAAACTGTAAATATTTTAATTTTTCACTTGTAAGCTCTAATAATTTTGACCTGCTAACAGTACTGACATGAATATTTTTATTTATAAACTCACTTTGCTTTTTGCCCTCTATGGAGCTAAAATAAATGTTTATCTTCAAACACCGACGTCTCGCTGCTATTTTAATCAGATATTCTTTCCGAGGTGTTTAGAAATTAATATTTGGAATGCTTTTTATTTGATAAAGTAACAGATTGCTAAAAAATAAAAAAGCCAAATAAGATTTCTTAGGCTCCTTTTTCCCTACATGTAATGCAGCCACCAGTGTTTTATTGCTACATAAGTGGCTCATTAATGCGTGTTTGTTTACGTAATCTGATTCAAACACAAATAAAACAGTCGGAGTACGTAGGCAGGCAGAAATGGACCTTTTTTTTATTTTTCTCGGGTGATAAACAACAGTGGATTGTCCTGACCAGACCAAACCGGATTAAACCGGTCTAGGCCAGACTAAAATAAGCGAGACACAGTAGAACCAAAGTCCAACCACAGCTTACCAGATCGAACCGGCCGGAACCGGTCCAAGGCAGCTGAACTCCCAGAACAGCCAACAGAAAATCGATACTTTGTTTTACTCTATGTAACCATGGCAACAGCCAGCATGGTCCAGTCGGGTCTGGTCAGAAGTAACCTGGTCCAGTAATCTCTCCTCTTTCTTGCTTCCTTCCCTCCTTGGATTGAAGAAGTCAAGGGCACGTCTACTTAATCAGAAGAACAACGGAGAAGCTGATTGGTCCACAAACAGTGAAGCCCCGCCCATCATTTCTGTCTCCCCCTCCTATTGGTTGCCTATATCATTTGCAAGGATTAGGGCGGGCCTTTCTCCCATTGGTCACCACAGCCTGAGGCAGAAAAGGCCGTTTCTCGTATATTTTCCTCCTATTGGTCCATTCAAATAACTCGCCAACTGTCAGTCACTCAGCAGCGGCCAATCAGGTTACAGTACCTGCAGAACTTTCTGGAATTATGTAGAAAAGAGAGAAAAGAAAAAAAAACGATGCACAGGGAGATCAGCCAATCATTTCAACTCATGGGAGGAGCTTCCAAATTTTTTTTTTTTCTAGGTTTCATTTTTTTAATCTTCGTTTTTTGTCCGTGTGAGCCGTCCGTCAGTCTCCGTCCATTTTTCCAAACGCAAAAATCAGTGCAATGCATCATGGAAACAATCGATCGCTAGGAGAGGGTGTATCACTACAACTTTGTGTGTGTGTGTGTGTGTTATGTTGGTATGGAAACATGCTGCGGGGTTAGCGCTCCAGCAGCGGGATGGTGCATCGTGTTAATTTGTTCTGTTCGTGTGTTTAGCTGGTGTCCATGGACTCCATGTTGGCGGAGCTGGAGTCTCTCTGGATGGAGTCAAAGATGGCCGCTAGCTCCTGATTGGACGAGATCTGGGACTGGAACTCTGACATCAGTGGCGACTTCTCGGCCTCTGGGATCGTCAGCAGTGCGACGACCGCTCGCATCGCCGACCGCTTCAGCTCGTCCTGCTTCTCAAACTCCTGTTTCACCGAGTTTGCCTTTACCTGCAGAGGGACGCCATTTTTATTCTGCTGGTAGGCGGCAGCTCATCTCATCCAACACAGCCCAATTCACTTTCTGTTTATGTCGCAGACATTTAAATTGACGTGGAAATTAATAATTTATCAATGTAGTTAGCTAAAATTCTCCAATGTAAAAGTTCAACAAATAGTCATAAACAGTGTAGTCCATTCCTGTTGAAAATATGTTTAATTATTTTATGTTTAAGTTGAATACAGTCCAAATCAGGGATGTTCAAAGTGTGGCACAGGGGCCAATTTGTGGCTCTTGAAATTATTATTTGGACCTTAAGTGGTAAAAATTTGGCCAACAAAACAGAAAACAACTGATGACCCCCCAAAAATTTGGAAATTGTATGCAGTTATATACAGATTTCATAAAAGTTTGTTTGTTGTTGAGAAAGTAAAAACAACAAAAATTGGAGTAAACTAATTTTTGCATTTTTAATTTGATGAATTTAAATTTGCCAGACACCTCTGGTCCAAAACATCTCAACTGAATCAAATCCAAGAATCAATGTAGCATCGACTACAGACAGGATGGATGAGGTTCAATTTGAGAAGAACCCAGGTGTGTTAGTAGCTGTACCTTTGTAGTGCAGGTGGCTCTGAGCGGCTCCACCAGTCTGTCCAGTCTCTGCAGCACAGCACTGGGACAAAGTGACGACAGTCTAGCCAGCATCAGGAAGGTCAGCATCTATCAGAACCAACGAGAATTCAACCATCACTTACTGGAACCGACCACAAATAAGAAAAAACACAAACAGGATGAAAACCCTTTGCTCTGGTTAATGAGGGATTAAATGATGAAGTATTTCCTTATTTTTTAAAACTGACACCAAAGTATAACTTCACAAGATGCTCAACATCCCAACATTTTTATTTTGTATTTTTCGTGTTGGAGTTCTCATAAAATTACCAATTTATTCTCCTGACATTACCACTTTATTCTGTTAATATTGTGGCATTCTCGTTTTATTTTGATTTTATTGTTGTAAGAGTTTATTCTTGTAAATTTTATGACTTTATTCTTATAATTAAACATAAAAAAAAAAAATCATAGCCTGGTCCTAATATTCCATCATGGAGTTGACCTGAATTCAATAAATAGAAGCTGTAAAACAAAATGGCCGCCCTAGGTGTACTGACATCACTGTGAACTATGGAAACCCCAGGGGGGAAAAATCCATATTTTTCAAAAATTAAACCTTCAAAAACCAAACCAAAGTACTGATTGGCCTGAGTAACAACTGAACCCAGACAGGTGTGGTTTCGGGTCGACAGACCCACCTTGATGTCATAGTGGTCCTTCAGCCCGTCCTCTACGTGGTTCAGGAAGGTGAAGATGTCCAGCCGGTCCAAGCAGCTGTCCAGCAGAGTGTACATGCACTCGAACGCAGCCTTCCTCAGGTCCAGCCCGTCGTCCACCGTGTGTTTGAAGGGACCCATCTCCACCTGCGCACAGCCAACAGTTGGTCAGCCACCTGGGCCTCACCCACCTGCAGGTCTCCGCCCAGCACCGGCTGTCCTCACCTCTCGGATCAGCTCCTTCCTCACTTTGGTCTCGTTGTAAAGATGCGGTAAAACTGAATCCAGCAGTTCTCGGATCAGGCTGGGTTTGTTGTGGGCAGCGGAGTTAAAGGTTACCAAGGCAACGCGGCGCACGTTCAGGTCCGGGTCTTCCAGCGTCTTCAGGAAATCACCTGGGAGAAAAAGCAACCAATGAGGGATAAGACTCTTAACCTACTGAAAATATTCAGTTCAACTTCTCAAGTAAAAACAGATGACCACTGAAATTAAAACGGTGCCAAAGTGTTTCAAGATGGCGGCTTGACCAGTTTCCATGGTTAAGATGCAACAAATCCCATAAAATAATGTATTTACTAGAAACACTATGGAACTTCCTTTCTTTAAAGTTCAAGTCTTAATAATAATTCATGAGAAAAATGGCTTAAACATAAAGAAATGTTGAGTTTAGGGTTGCAACTAACGATTATTTTAGTAATCTATTATTCTGATTAAATCGGATAAAAACTTTGGCACATACTGCAGATTTTACATGTAATCATTTAAGCTAAAAGATTAAAAATACATTAAATATGAAAAACAATTACATTCTTTATTAAATAAGAAAATGAAAATGTATTGCAGTGTTGACACTGTTAAAATTTGCTTTCAAAAGGAATAAAAATCCCACATATTTAGGATTAAAACAGGAATTACCTATGCAGTTCTTGAGCAGCGGGTCGATCGGCTGCGGCTGATCAGAGATGGTGAACTTTACCGCTGTTACCACGGAGCTCCTGGCATACGATGAGCCTACAGACACAACCAGATGAACGTCTGACTCCAACGCTACTGGTGTTGGTTATAGGGTGATTGTAGTTCTGCTGACCTGACAGCAGGTATCCCTTGAGGCGGGGCAGCAGGGTTTCCGAGTCGATCAGCGTCAGTTTGCCCAGACATTCAGCCACGACGTTCCTGGTCCCCTCCTCCTGACACTCGCAGTGTTTGAGCAGCAGAGACCAAACCGACTCCACGTAGGGCTTCAGGCCCGACACCGACGCCGAACCTGGACACACACATGTTAAAACCAAACACACACACACACAC